ATCATGTAACCTCAATTTCGATTACTCTATTAATAAAGATCACGAGAAATGCCTCACTTAACATTAAAAAAAAATAATATTGTTATTATTTTATAATCAAAAGTTGTTATAATATAGTTATAATTTGTTCACTATTTTTTTAAAAAGAGTTGGTAATGGTGTTATTATTGAAACAATGATTTAATTACTATTAAATAACTATGATTTTGTCATAACATAGTAAAAACCATAAAATTATAATTGAATCTCCATAATTTAGTTATAAAATTGTAATAATTATATAATTAGATTATAAAAATTTAATAAGTTTCAATAAAATATATTAGTTTAAAATTTCTTTTTAATAAAAATTAAATAGTTATTGTAAGTAAATTAATATTTAACTTATTGAACTTTACATATGAAAAATATTGTTTTTTTTTCAAATATACATCTTATAATATATAAATAAATAAAAAAAATAGTGTTTATCTATTATTATATATTATTTTTATCTTAGGAGAAAGATAAAGATGAAAAACTAGTAGCAGAGAGACATTTTAGATAAATGGAACCAGTGTGGTATACTAAAGTTTCTAAAGACATACAAATTAGTACAGTTCTGAGGTGTATAAGGTCAGGCAAAAAAGGCAATAGTGATTTGTTTTAAAGATCAAGATATTTATTTGATAAAATATATATTTAAGCCTACTAATTTCTAGATAAAATTAGAGCCTTTATATACAGTATATATTTAAGTTATAATATTTTTGTACATGATAAATATATACTATAGTAAAGATATAAACTAAGATATAAATACTATTTTTGTTAAAATATTTAACTGTATTATCAATCATATAGATAAATACTTTGGTGAAGATAATATAAAGAGTAAAGATGAAATAAAATAGAAATATTTTAGAAATGGTAAAGGTGCAATAGATACAATAAATATTAATGGTACAGTAACATATCTGTAATACAAGACTATTTTAGAACAGCTAACATTTCAAGAGTAAATGCTAATGAAAATCAGACAAGGGATAGTGAATATCTTGAATAAAAATCAAGTGTAACACTACTTTAAAAAAAAAGAAAATAATTTTATTATTTAAAAATTTTTAAAAATAAAAAAAAACTATTTTAAAATATTTTTTGTAAAATTTAAAAAATTATATTCAGATTACAAAGCACTGTATCATTATTACTTATAAAACACATTTGTACAGTTAATAATATAACTAGCAACTAACTATTGTTTACTTTTTATTTCTTTTTCTTTACTTAAATTCTCATAGGTTTACAATAGCTACAATTAATTTACTTTCTTTGTATATTAAAAATTGCTAATATACATAATAGTAATAAACAAAAATTTAATAAAGATCTATATTTAATGTCAATTTGTAAAAAAAAAATTTTTAAATATTTTATTTATAATTTTACAAACTTATAAAATTTTTCTATAAAATTTTTTTTAGAATATTTAATAAAATCTTAAATATAAACTTTTTAATACAAATAATTGTTACCAATTTCAAAAATGCAAAAGAAAAATGAAAGCAAATAATAGACTTTTATATTTTATTTGTAAAATATCCAAATAGAATCATCTCAAATTAGTATATCATACTAGATTATTAAATAGTATTGTAGAGATTACAAATGCTATTAAAAATTAGAGAGATTTGTTTAACTAAATAAACCTTTTAGATAACATTTTTTAATATATTAAAAGATTTGGTATTTGAAATCTTGCATCTATTAGTACTTTATATTATACAGATTTGACTTTGAATCAACTATTTTAAAAATTTTAATATTTTAAAATAGCAGCTAGCAAAAAAATACTGGAGTCTCTAAAAATCCAAGTTGAATCCCTAAGATCAAAAAACATTAGCAATAAATATTATCAAAAAAGAAAATGTCTAATTGCAACATATATAGAAGATATGCAGATATGGACAAGAAAATTTGTAGGCTTCATTTTTTTTGCAAAATTATTTTCAAAAAGTAATTATTAGGATGTTAATAATTTTTTCATAAGATTATTAAATAACCAAGCAAAAACATTTAGAGTGGATATTATATAAGAAGTTTTTGGATATTGAATATATCAGAATTGATAGATTTAGTAAGGTTTACAAATTGACATAGCACAAAGGACTTATTAAATATTAAAATTTATCAGGTATTTTATAATTAATTACATGCCAAATATTATATATATTTAGAAAAATATCAAAATCTTATATTATTTAATTTTTAAAAATAAAATTATAATTTGATAAAATATAATATGAGTGTATTAATTTAATTACAAATTAATAAAATGTCAGTATATTTATTTATTTATAGTACTAGTCATAATTATATTACTCTCCTAAATTATAAAAACTTAAATATAAAAAAAAAAAACTTTTTTTTTTATTTTAAAGTCTGAAATAAGTATTAATAATTAATATATAGTATAATTATCATCTGATTCTATTAAGGCCAAAATTCGATTACTCATATTTTTAACTAATCTTTCAACTAACACATTAGAAAATTTATTTCATTTCTTTTTTATTTCTTGTTTTAAATTTATAATTGTTCTAATTTTTTTTTTGCTGGATTCTAATCTTTAGGAGTCGCCATATGTTTTCTATTAGATTTTAATCTGAAGAATACACTGGCTACGGAAGTACCTTAATATAGTTTTCTTTCTTCTATTCTTTTGCCTTTTTCGAATGATGCTTCAAATTGTTATCTTTTAAGAGATACTAATCCATATTATTGTTTCCAAAAAACATTTGCACAAAGATTAATAGACTATCTTTATATATCTTGCATAAAAAATTAGCATTAAAATTGTAGATAAAGAAAATTAACTTGCCAAATCCCAAAGCTGAAAAACAGCCCCAGATGTGAATCTTTTGCATATGCTTTACAGTTTGAAACACGTTTGCCTTTCAATATATTGTCACATTTTTTTATTTGATAGAAACAGACAGATAGTACATTTGTTAGTAAAAATTACCTTATTCCAATTGAACTTTTGATGTTTTATTGCCTAGTTTAAATGATTCTTCTGATGCCTTTCACTAAGATATAGTTTTGGTATTCTATTTATATATTTGGTTTCAGATTTGACCAGATAATGTTTAACGGTACTTTTACTAATGTGGATATCTAGTTTTTCGAGTTTTTCTTTTATATCCATACTAGTTACATAAGTTTGTTTTTCAGCTATCTTTGAATTTTCCTATCTTGGGCGAGAGTTGTAATATAGTGACAACTGGATCTTAGTTGATCATTTAAATCTTGATTTTTGTGGAATTTTTGAAGCACTTTGACAATAACGAGCTTACTATAACCAATATAGTAGTTATTTTTTCAAGACCAAGCTTTGGTCCTAATGGATGTTCATGAAAAAAGATGATTTCGTATTGTTAATAGAGCAAAAGTGACATTTTTTAAGTGCAAAACTAACTAATCATCTGATTTTTGCAAAAGATATTGCATGAACTTACAAAAGCATCAGTAATTATCAATTATATTACCCTTTATCCAAAAAAATTTTCAAAGATAATTATGATATAATTTTGAAAAATAAGAGAAAATAACTTATTTTTGACTAATATTGTATTTTTTTAAAGAGCAAATAGCTATCACACATTATAATGTCAGCATATTTATTTGATTATAAATAATACAATTTTTATAATAATATTTATTAATTACAGTATATTTTTTGTTTTTTTCTTGATTATAGATCATTTTGAAAGATATTTGCATTATTATTTTGCAATGGTCTTTTTTTATACAAATCTGATACTTTAGAAAATCCCGAAAATTCCTAAAAATAATATAAATTTATTTAAAAATTATAAAATTAAATTATTCAAATTTAAAAAAAAAATTACCTTCTCTTTATTTTGAATATTATTATTATTATTATTTTGTTCATAATCAAACAATGTAAATTCTTCTTGTTAAGGTTCCTAAATATATTTTAATTAATTTTTTTATCATATATAAGTTATAATAAATATTTAATTAAAAACTTACTTTGATTAAACGTTAAATAACAGAATCAAGAATTTCTTTTTTTATCTTTGCGTATTTTTAGATAATTTCGAATTCCAGCAGAAGAGTTATGTCCTGAAATAGCCATAGCTTTGATTTCTTGATTTTCAGTATCAAAGATTGATTGAATAGATATATCTTAACCTGAATTATTAGAGATATTTTATCCACTAACATCAAGCCTGCAAACTATACAGATTTCTTTAAAAAAGCCATTGATTCTTTTATTATTTAATGGTCTATCATTATACCATTGACTCTTACGAATTGCTAAATAAAATCAAGTAAGTAATTTTTTTTTAAAAAAAAAAAATTACTAACTTGAAGCATTTTGCGAAATACTTAAATAGAATTTTTTGGTTTTATAATTTTGAGATCTTTGCGCAATATATTTTTTTATATCTGCATTTGATTCAGCTATACCTGGAATATCTTCAGGAAATGGAAGTTCAAAAGTATGTTGATTTCCATTAATGCCCCCTTGATCATTTTTTTGTTGATATTTTCT